TTAAGTTGTTCGCTGCCCTGAGTCCCTTTTAGGGAATAGGGCGGCAGATAAATAAAATAAAACTTAAACTTCCCCTTTTGCAAACTTTGTTTTGTAGCGTAAGATTCGCCAGAGTTATTTCGCCTCTGTTTCCTACGTGGATACGCTGGTGGGGAAGTTGCTGGCTGCCCTGGATGAGACAGGCTTCTCGCACAACACGGTGGTGGTTTTCACCGCAGACCACGGTAAGACTTCCTGGCCACTTGGGAGTTTCATCGCAAACCCCACAGCTTCATTTTCTGGAGAACGTGTCGATTTTGCAGCTCTTGGCCTCCGGAATAAAGCAGCTTCTACACAAAGGCTTGTCTCGTCCAGTGAGTTATGTCGGGGTTTCCCAACCTTGGCACCTTGCAAGAGGCGTGAACTGCAACTTCCCAGCCGGCTGGGGGATTCTGGGAGTTGAAGCAGTGGGGGGGATTCAACGTTTTTTTACCACCGGTTCTGTGGAGGTGGCAGGGGAAGGAGACTGCAAAATCTCCACTCACTCCCTACTCCGGACTGGTGCGGTGGCCTAGAGGTGGAGCTCTCACCTGACAATCAGGAGGCTGTGAGTTCGATCCTAGCTAGAGGCAGGTGTTTCTGGGCACCGTGAGAATATATCTGCTGAACAAAACTCCGCATTGGCGACAGGAAGGGTATCCGGCCATTAAACACACTGCTAGCTCCATTCAATTTCCCAGACTCCATCCTGCAAGGGATTATGGGTTCATTAAAAAACGATGAAGCGGGGTGGGACTTGCCTAATGATTCCAGACTAATTCCCTGTTTGACTCCTCTCCTCACCTCGTCCAGTCTCTTTCCGACATCATCACCTCCTATTTGGTTCTAAGACTGGCTGGAGAGTTTTGGGGACTTTAAAAGCTCGGCTGTTCCTTGATATCTTTGTGGTCGATCCACAGGATTCCTCTCAATGCTCTCTCCCCTTCATGGCTCTTGGTTTCATTTAGGCTGGTCCCTGGGCGAACACGGCGAGTGGGCGAAATACAGCAACTTCGACGTAGCCACGCGAGTGCCATTGATGTTCTACGTGCCGGGAGTGACCACTCTGATCTCTGAGCGGGGACAGAAAGTTTTCCCATTCCTTGATCCCTTTGTTCAAGATTCCTGCTCTGCGCTTCCAGGTAAAAACCCAGCATTAAACATTAAAAAGTCTGACCTTTGGTTGCTAATCCGAGTAGGTCTTCCGTGTTCGCTTCAGACATGCGGCTGTTTTCCTTGTTGGATTTTATTCAATGCCAATGTATATTTTAGCGTGAAAATTCTGCAGGGCCGTTTTTGGTTTGGTAAGCCATTCTGGAAAAAACAGTAAAATCTTTCAAAGTAAGTAGATGCCAGAGGTGAAATGCTACCAGTTCAGGCTGGTTTGCCCGAACCGGTGATAAAAAATGCTAAAGAAAGTTGCAAGTATCAGCTGTGCCCTGCGATTTATATTCGATAGAAAGCAGGAAATCCTGCCTTTTAGGGAATCTAAGTCACGTGGCACAGCTGATCCAGGACTTAGAAAAGGCTTCTTAGCACCTGCGGTGTATATGCGCCAGTGAAGCAGACTTCAGAGCATTTCATCCCTGGTAGATACCGTTTTTTCCCCCCAGGTTTCCTGGCTTCAGTTCATTTATAATGTTGAAAAGGCCCAGAATGGCTCTGCTTACCAAGGTAGGGCATCCATAGAACTCGCATTCTATTTGTCATAAAACACACGCTACGGGACGCAGAAGAATGGACGTAGGTCGTAGGAGGACCAAATCTGATTGAATGTTGGGAGCGAAGCAGGTCTTAACAATGAAGGCAATTTGACAGTGGAACCAACTCCCCGGAGAGAGAGAGAAGCTCCCCTTCCTTGAATTATGTCAAAGTTGGTCAATCAACTGTTGATTGTCCTTGTCCTTGATTGGTTTCAACGGACTCAACTCAAGGATTCCAGTTGGGTTCCAATGTATCTCCATCTTGAATGGATTCCCGGGCATTGATCATCGAATAATTGCCTCTGCTGTTCTCACTGGGGTGGAATGGTGTCTGGATTCCAGGAAGGAGGGAGAGGCTCCCAAGAGACAGGACAGCTTAGATCAGTGGTGGCACCTAGTGCCGAAAAGGGAGCACATGAGTGTGCGTGCTTTCTGCGTGCGCTTGTCTGGGCTGCAACCCAGAAGTGAAGCTGCCAAGGAGGCATGTGCGCACCGGAAAATGCACTTCCAGTTTCCAGCAGATGCCTGCTCGAGGTCAGCCTGACTTCTGGTTACTGGCATGCATGTGCATGCAATGAACAGCTGGCTGGCATGCATGCTCGCACCAGGAAACCAGGTCTTCCTGTTTCTGGCATAGCCGCACGCACAAAGGCCAGCTGATCATTGTGCGCCAGAAACCCAGAAGAGGAATTGGCGATGCCGTGCAATGCCAGGCGACGTGTCTCCACATACCACTTTGGGCATGCATGCCATAGGTTCCCCCTCACGGGCTTAGATAGGGAGGAAGAGAGTTAGGCAGGCTCCTCCTTAACTATTCTCAGAGTGTATCTTTGGCGATGTGGATAGTTACTTTAGTTTGGCACGATTCTGTCTGTGGGTAAGGAAGAACAGAGGACAGAAGTAACTCCGGGTATTCGTTCTTGGCTGATTGACACTCCCTACTCTAATTCTTTCTCCTATCCCACTCCAGGAAAACCCAAAGAAATGGTTGAGTTGGTGTCTCTCTTCCCGACGCTTGCAGAGCTGGCTGGACTGACCGTCCCCCCTGCGTGTCCCCATCCCTCCTTCCACGTCCCTCTTTGCAGTGAAGGGAAGAGCTTGGTTCAGTACTTCCCATCCTCCGGCGGAGGGCGGGAAGACCATGGCTCCAAGCGAAAAGGAACCCCGGTTGCCTTCAGCCAGTATCCGCGTCCGGGAGACACCCCTGCACCGAATTCTGATTTGCCGTTACTTCAAGATATAAGAGTCATGGGTTACTCCATCCGTACGGCCGGTTACAGGTGCACCGTCTGGTTTGGGTTTAATCCCGACAACTTCACCATCGACGTGAAGGACATCCATGGGGGAGAGCTGTATTTTGAGGAAAGGGACCCCCATGAAGACCATAACAGGTACCACGAAGTCCTGCAGGGATCCCCCATTCCAAAGCTTTGCCGCCTAGTTGATCACCTGGGATCCACTTCAATTCAGTGAATCTCTGCCAAGCAGTTGACCTCCATGGGGGTCGTATACACGTCATGCTTTGTGTTATACACAAAGACGGCTCCATTTTTGTATCAAAAGGTTTTAAATGCTGATATAGGAATAAATTTGAATATATGAATGATTAAATATGTATTCTCTTTATTATAATATCCCCAACGAAAATATTTGCACAATATTGGAAAAGTGAAGAGATTCCTACTGAAGAGAAGGTGATTTAGGAAAATATTAGAATACGCAGAAATGAACAGACTCACTTGGGCAATTAATAGCAATAGCAATAGCAGTAGACTTATATACCGCTTCATAGGCCTTTAAAAATAAAGTTGCCGAGCTTGAAATATTAGGCAGAATAATTAAAACA